AGACATCTCATCCACCTCTTCCTCACATCGCTTCTCTTTGGTGGCTACATCTCTCAGAACCTCCACAAACTCTAGGCTAATTCACATTTGGATGAAATTGGTTTTAGACGGGGAATTATACGTTAGAAGCAATATTTAACCCTCCTTTCTCGATGATGCATAGAGATAAAACGTACAGGGAATATTATTTGAGTTTTTCTTAAATACTCAGAAAACTATATGGGGTGAAGATGCGAGTAAAATCCTCTCCGCTGATAAAAAAAAGTAAAAATAAAACAAATATACTAAAGTTTGAAAGGAACGACCATCTTCATGATAATCTGTAAATCATTTATATTTTTGCATGAAATCTGATTATTTTTATGGAAACAAACACTCCTGACTCTCAGACTACACCCCCCCCCCCTCCTCACACCTCTCACAGGATGCACCCTCGTGACCTTGCCCTTCTTTCGTCCATCTCTTGACATATTCCTCTTTTTCACCCTCCTCCCTCTTTATTTTTTTTTCTATTTTCCTCCTCTGGTTTCTTGGGGCTTAATTACGGGGGGCCGGCTCCGTGGCTGAGGAGGTGCTGGGCGAGCAGGGATCAGTGTGACCCTGGAGGAGAAGCCATCAGACAGCGGCCTTAACAATGATAAATCACCCCGAGCGCGGCTACAGATGCAGCCGCCGCCCCACTGATCTCTATAAAACATGGATGGCCCTGCGCGCGGAGCCGCAGCAGCAGAGCGGCATAGCGCCGGATCTCCAGATTAGCGATTATCAGGCGCAGAGATCTTCTAATGATGTGGGACATGGTGTGGGGTTAATTCATTCACACTAAGCTGATTGAAATTCAGCTCATGAATCAAATATTGCTCATTATTCTCAATGAGAGCAGGAAATCTCCTCATTCATGAAGTGGGCTGGAATTAATAATCCCTGAACGGACGGGTGCCCCCCCCCTCCCTCATGAGTCAGGATAAGGGTCAATGATCAGAGCTAAAGGTGCACACGCTACACGCCAAACACGCTTAATCTCCACGTTATGGTTCACAAATCACCGGGAAGGAGAGGAAAAAATGACTTAAGATTTTTTGTCTGAAGCTAATTTGAAGAAACCTAAAACCAAGCAGGACATCCTCTATTTTACAGACACATATGTATTGTTTTTTAAACTATCTGCTTCCTTTCAACACCTTTACAATTGACCTTAAAAGCCCCTTCAATAAATGAGTTATTCTTACTAGAGCCTTAGTTACCTTCTCAAAGCCCTTGACGTTGCTTCTGCTCCTCAGTCTACACTTAAAATTATAATTTGTTTATTCTAATTTGTGAGTTATGGGAAATCTGAGGCTCTATTTAGATATTGAAGAAGAAATTTGAAGTCTGATAGTCCCTCTGTAAGACAGACAGGGACCGTCGCGCAGCCAGGCAGGGCGGCAGGCTGCGAGGCCAACTGGTCACTGATGACCTCTGTGCTTTCTCCTGGATAATTCAGACCTCTAATCTCATTTACAGTCTGTCTCGGCTGCAAGCGGACACCACAGTGTGTCCGTCCTGCAGACTCAGAGCGGACACATGAAGCGTCACCGTTACTGTTCACACCTTTAGGTGCTGTCTCATTTGCAGGTAGAGCAATGCACAGGTGATAAAGTGGGCCAAAGTGATTAGATAGCACCTCAGGAAATGGTTTATGAAAGACTAAGAAAGATCGTTTTTTTTTCTCTTCAAACAATTCACTACTTAAGGTTACAAACTAACTATGACAGGGTTAGTGTTGGCTTTTCACCACAACTTAAGACATGACTTAAACAGAACAACAGGACATTTATATATATGCCCATTGTTTATTAAAGATATTTCAGAAGCCATTTTTTGCCTTTGTTTGAAAGGAAAGCTGCAGAGAAACTGGAAATGTTGGGCGGAGAGAGGGGGAACGACATGCAGACTATAGCCTCTGTACTTGGGACGTGTGACATAACCACTAGGCTACTGGCGCCCCTATATGCCCATTGTTCAGCTACTTGTGAAAACCGCACATAGTGATGAAAACACCAGCTGCAGATTCTCACTCCCTGCACTCTCTGTGCCAAGCTAGGCTTCTTCATTCAGTTAGCTAAGAGTACGTTTGGATGTCTGAACTTTACCCAACCCTGCTCACAGATTGGTGATAAGTGTGTGAGCTGACATGATGCAACAGTTTAATCAGACCTGCAGTCCATGTGAAACATAACATGTTGATGTTTTTTGGTGGTTACTGTAAATGCAGATCTGCAGCCGGTCCTCTTGGATTTATGTTTTTATGAGAAACGCATCAATATGTGGACACTGTTAGCTGTTTCATGGGACTTTTAGGATAAATTTTTTCTGTTTTGATGGAGATAAGTGAAACGTTTCCCCTTGCTTTCTCCCTTGGTGCTAAGCTAGGCTAACCTTATGCTGTACCTTTAAATCCACAGCAGTTTCCCATCCTTTAGATTAAATCAGATGTGTGCTTTTTTTCCTCGTCCTGGTTTCCATATTCACTGCTTCTGATTTAGTTGAACAGTCACACCCACTCTGCCTCCACGGTGCTCCCATAATCCTCCACCTGACGCCCGACAACAAATCAATCTGTTCTGTGTCGTCCCGCCTGTCCAAAAAAAAAGAAACCTGGTCGCCCAAACATCTCTCTCCATCCCTCCTCCTGTCCTCTGCAGAGCAACGGCCGGTCAAAACAAAAGAGAAGTGACAGGACGAGTTAACCCCTCGCTGCTCTGTCACATGATCCCCACCATCCTTTCAGCATGCTGGCTGCGAATCAAACGCTCCCTCTCCTCTCGCTGGGATTTTTCCTCGCGTCCAAAACGTCTGGGAGGAAAAGAAATCTGCGGCCTTATTGAGTTTTCTTTTGAATAGATAAATATTTATAGGGCGAGGAGAGGGGGGAGGGAGGAGGTGTTTGACGTCCCACTCTGGCTGCAAATCAGGCCATCAAAGAGGCCAGACAATGTATGCTCACTATTAGTATCAATTTACAAATAAACTGCTTTTTTGGTGACTGGATCTCCGATGTCAGATTTTGATAAATGGTTTCAATTTGGCAGCTGCTTTCGAGTGTCAGAGCCCATCTGACGCTCTCCGCCATCGCCGCCGCTCGCTGCCTCAAAGAATCTGCTTCAGTTAGCCCGCAGCCGGCCGCTGCACGAATAATCTCTTCATACGAACCAGGCCAGGTGTGTGTGTAAGTGTGTGTGTGTTTGTGTGTGTGTGTGTGTGTGTGCATGCATGTGTGCATACAAATGTCTTTCTGTTGGTGAATATTGAATCCAAACAAACTGATTTTCACTACAAATGTTTTTCTGCACAGATCTTCAAGGAGCTTCCTGTGATTTAACCATTAAACATGAATCAGAGACACATTTCTTCTCTGTCACTGTTCTCTAAAGAGGCTGCTGCTGAGATTTAATAGATTTTTAAATCTGCTTTTCCTTCCTGTCAGACAGCTGCTTTGCTTTAAGAAGAGAATTACACCGGACTTTCAACCTGCTCATCTTTTCAGTCATATCAGCATCCTTACAACTAACCATTATCTGCACGTTTGTTAATCAGTCTACCAATCACAAGAAACAAATGGGATTGCACATTTATAAAACATCTGTTTTTAAATGTGGAGATGTGCAAGTGTGCAGTATGTGCAATATATTTAGTAGAAGGTACCTTCAGCCTCTGCATTCTTACATATCATGTTCTTATATTCCACGACACATCCATTGGTCAGTCTACATTTCCTCTGCTTCTCAACTCTCCTCACTAAAGCAAATAGTTTACATCCATCAGATGTTTTCATCAGAACATGTGCTTGTGTCTTCAGACCAATCTGAATGATCTATCCCAACGTCATGATGTTTGGTCTGTCAGTGGAATTAAATCATTCAGCTGTGATCCTGATTTGATTGATTTTAACAAAACTCAAAGATAACTGGATACAGAGGTTGAGATTAACCGCTTTTTGAACCAAGCAAAGAAAAAAGACTTGAAGCTGGAGCACATGTTAGCATTGCTCCATTAAACGGACATAAATAATCCACTTTCATGCCAGTTCATGTTGGATTCTTGGAGCGAAAAAGCTCGGCATTCATCCATCAGTAATTTTTTTGTTGACAGGGCAAGAATTTATTTTTTTACAGAAATTCAGCTATTTCAAGAGCAGCATAAGGCAAAGCAAGGCAGGCGTATTTACACATTTCATCAATAATGCAATTCAAAGTGCTTCACTGCACAACCAAAGAATCATGAGAAAACAATGGGGTAACCCTTAATTAACTATGATGTGAATCACAACGAAAGGGAGATCAAGTTGAAACTATTCTGACAAAATTAAGTTTGATTCAAGTGAATGAAATGAGTTACTGAAGTATTTATCAATAAAACATAATAAAACTGAAGAATAGAAAATATTAAGCAGCCTGTTTATCGGATAGTTTCATAAACAACAAGGTTTATTGATTAATATTTACTAGTCTGAAGAAGTGAGTCACACCCTGATGAACCAATCAGCTCTCTCCACCTGCTCTCCACCTTCATCAGGTCACATTCTAACATCCCGACCCGTCTCAGCCAGCGACCTGCCGCCGTCCAAACCTTGGTGCTCGCCAGTCGAAGGGGAAACAAAAGCAAAGCTCAGCGAGAGATTTCCTCCCGTGAACAGCTGCTTCCTGTATGAAGGATCGGGAACAATCAGCCGGCTGGCAGCGAGGAGATGCCGCCGAGCCAAGAGTGTCCCGAGCAGAACCAACAAATCACATCAGGCAGCTCGAACATTACAGAAAACCTTAATGTGAAGCAGTGCAGGTGGTCTACGGCGGCCACAGAGGGACAAACAGCCACTCCAGATTTTAACCAGACTGTAATGGGGCTGTTAACCCTGAGCTCTGACTGACAGGTGTGTTCTGGCTCACTTCCTGATCCTTGAACCTGACATCTGATCTCAGACTCAAGCATGCAGCAGTGACTTGATGACGCGTCGGACTGACCTTAGGTAACCTCTCAGGGTCCCCTGGGTGGCGTGGAATGACCTTCTGTAGCCTCTGGAAGCCGTAGTCGATGGTTGGCTCGTTCAAGGCTGCAAAAAAGTGAAAACAAAGACTGATATGTTAACACAACTGAACATGTCTGAAACTATATTCAACACAGATTACAAACATACAACCAGAATATCAAAGCTAAGATTGATTTTCTTTTTTTATATTACCAGAAACAGACGTCACATTGCTCACCAGACTCCATTGCCATCACAGGAGTTGCTGGTCTACATCTGCTTTTATTTTTTAGTAAGTTAGTTTTATTGTGTGACTTTCTAGTCTGTTGATTGAATGTTCTAAAACACAATAACAACATCAACAAACTAACAGACTGAGGCAGCAGTAGATCAGCAACTCCTGCGTTCTTCTGCGAGGTAAAATAAGTTCTTATGAATGTAGTCTGATATGTTTGTAGAGAGTTATGTAACAGCTGTTTGTGGTTAAAAAAAAGTTATTTTCCTCTTTCACAAAAAGCTCCATCTCTGTAGGGATCCTCTCTGTAATGTTGTCAGAATAGAATAACAATCTGAACCTGTCAGTGATAAAAACTAAAACTCTTCTCGATCCATAAAGCATGATGTTGCAGACATACAGCCTGTTTCACTGCTGCAGGAGGAACTAATCTACAGGAGACATTCAAATCTGTTTAACCCCAAAATATGTTAAATAAAAAAAAAAGAAAGAAAAAAAATAGGGATAGCATTTTTCTTTGATATGAACAAGTGAATGTGACTTGACGTGACACCAGCAGGTACATTTGAGGTTTTAACAGAAGCCTGTTTCACTACTGGTTTAAAAAAAAAAAAAAAAAACCAGCGTGACCTCTCAGTGATCTTCAGCTTCAGTCTGTTGGTTCTTATTAACAGTGATCGCTAACCGAGAGAGAAAGAGAGAGAGAGTGAGCAGTGTCAGTTGATCTCTCTCTCTCTCTTTATCTTTCGTCTGTTTATTAAGTGTGAGACCTCACACTCCATCTGTCCTCCTCGCTCCGCCGTTTTCACCGCTCCAGCAGCGCTAATTCAATCCAACCTTTCCTTTCTTTTCTCCTCCACTTATTCACCTCCACAAACACTCGGCCTTCCTCCTCCTCTTCCTCTCCCTTCTCTCTCCATACGCCGAGAGCAGAGCAGGAGAAACACCCGGAAATGAGTTCAGGGAGACACTTCTCCATAATCAAGCCCATTAATCATAAAAGGCTGTCAAATTTGACTTTGGGGACAATTTGTCAGCCGATCTTGCCCACTCCGCTTTGTCACCGTTGGCTCTTGTATTCTGTAAGGATGATTGACACACCAAATGCCGCTGAGTAGAATAGCTAGTTTGCACTAATATGCATAACCGCGGCTTTCATGAATAAGAATAAGGCAGCTATACGCAGCACAGAGGGGTCTCCTTCAAAGGGCCGCGCCGCCGTTTGTCGCCTGCGCTCCAAATAGATGTTATTACCATTATAACAATATTTGTTTTCTTTCCCCAGGAATAGGCGACGGCGAGCTGCTAAATCAAATTTGTCGGGGCCCGTTTCAAGCCGAGCGGAGGAGAAAAAGGGCTTTCAGCCTGCGACTGGGGTGGGGATGATATCTGAAGGGTGACAGAGCGCTGAGGGACGTGGCCCTCGCCGCAGGGGCTGCCATGTTGGATTTCTTGCCTCCCCGCCTTCCTGAGAGGAAGCAGAGAGCAGGCGGCGGCCTGAATCTATTACCTCGCCCGGCGTGGATAAAAGAGGGATTCATTGTGGGATCCCAAAGAGACTTTTTGGGGGGATGCAGAGCAGCGGAGGATGAATGGAGATAACGACACGAGCAGCAAACCGGATAAACCTCTCGACGCTGCGTACATACATCCCAACTTATAAAACAAGTGAAAGGCACTATGGGAAATGCTGCAATTGAATAAAAAATCCATTTACACTCAGAGAGAGAGAGAGAGAGGAGAGAGAGAGAGAGAGGGAGTGAGAGAATGAGAGACCGGGTGTTTAACTCTTCATCTGCATCAGACGAGCTTCTGATCTGATGCTGCAGGAGGAGGCTGGAGCCCCAATGGTCATATCTATTGTCAAATTATAAAACACACTCATTCAAATCTTTGATTGTTTGTCCTTTCTTGACCCATATTATCACCCTGCCTCTTCATATTGTGACTTTCTTTCTTTTTATAGAGTGGACATTTTGCACTGCTGTCTGTCCTAGAGAATGGATCTCTCTGAATACAAAGATCCGATTTTATGATTCTTAAAGAAGTCTCCGAGAAAACCAAAGTGTCATCAAAGAGTTACATCAGGAGACATTTGAAGCACAGATCAGAGCCTTGAGGTTGTCGAAATGTAAGATACTTCAATACTTTTCAATACCACAAGTTTTAAATGATACAATCTGTTATTTTAATGATCGGTAGTAAACAAGAAAGAAGCTTTAAAACAACTTCAGCTCTTCAGTCAAACTAAAAGCAAAAGAGAGAGAGCACTGTCTAAACTGGATCCAAACTATAGCAATGTTTGGTTACCGCAATGTGCCTTTAGTTTAGTGCAATTTATACAGTTTTCTCTTTTTTGTGATAAAAAAAACTCTAAATTTTACAATATTGGGTGAAATTTATATTGCCTTTCCACTGAATTAATTGTTTTACGAGAATCATAGCAAATGTTAAATTCTGGTATCATGACAACTCTATCAGAGTTTGAACCTCACACCAAATGTAAAACATGGCAGTTTAAATGTTCTGGTTTGTTTGTTTTGCTGCTTTATGATCACAATAACTTGCAGATGTTGCAATGGATCCTCAATCAGTCCAAATAGTGTTCAAGGAAATAGTGCTCGGCCATCGCTGCAGTAGCTCTGGCAGGAAATGGCATCAAAGTCAAGATTTAAGCTAATTGAATATCAAAGCCCGGATTGAAATCATGTTAAACTTTGCAAGGGGATTTGAAATGTTCTCGATGAGCAGGAGAGTCTGCACAAACGTGTTAATGAGTGTTAGTGTGTATCAGAGACCGGTCGACCTGCACATTTAATGTCTGTAAGAAGTTATATCTGTATCTGTTTAAGTACATTGATATCACATTTGTTCTTCTTGTCCTGTTTGAATGTTGATTACATTTTCTCATGACAAACTACGTATATCAGAGAGTATATCAAATACTTGCCCTTTAATAAAATGAAATAAAGAAAGGGAACATTTAGCTTAAAATAAAGAAAGACTGATTTCTTGTGCATCCTTTTAAACACCTTTACCAAATGAAGCCTCAGTATAAAGTCTGTGGTCTATAATACGATGTCCTGAGGTAAATGTGATCATCTTATGTTGATTGAAACGTGCTGTAGAGATTTAAATTTGACTTCTTGATTTGCTGGGATTCTAACCGGCAACCTTGTGAATAAAGAAACCACCTCTGCGAGGGCAGATGGAGGGAAGGAGGAGGGATCTTTTTCTCTGCCATCATCATGGCGGGAGGAGAAGATGGAGGAAGAAACAAAGACGGAGGCTTTTAATGAACCTCTGGACAGGCTGCTCAGAGCCCCCCCCCCACTCCCTCTGCAGAAATTAAACCCATTACCTCCCCTTATTAAAATCTCGGAGCACTATGACCCCAGCGCCCCATTGGCTGCTTGCAGGGCCCCGCGCTCCTCCCAGCCAATCGATACCGGCTGCCTCCCTGCAAAGAGCTCGAGTAATTGGAGAGCGGCGGTTGGCAGTGCGAACCCTGACCCCCCCCCCTCACCCCGCCTCCACTCCACCCTCCACCCCCCCCCACGCATTACACCACCCATATGAAGACAGATTGCCTGATTTAGTGTAAACATATGCTGCAATTCCAGGCATCAGTGCCACTTTCTCCATCGTAATTTGTATTGATTTTTCTCTCTCCTCTTTTTTGTGCGAGCGAGGAGTCCGCGGCCGTCGCTCTCTGCTGCTGTCTGATGTTTTTTATAAATCAGAAGAGGAGCAGAGGGAGATAATTCAGAGGTGAGAGGAGAGGAGGGGGATTCTTTATATATTTAATCAAGTATTTATCGCTCCCTCCGTTTGCTTTTTTCTCCCTCTCCTCCCTGTGAAAGTGATCAAACGGTTGGTTGGCGTCCTGCTGATCGGAGCGCTCTGTTATTAGGCGGCTAAGTGACTGAAGAGAGGACGAGAGGGGAGCGACTGGAGGGGGAGGACGGGGAGGCGGGTTACACGTTAAACTAATTTCTTGACGGCAGATTTGTAGCATGAGAGGAGACGCGTTGAAACAGCAGGTCAGAGCTGTGAACATTTACACATTTATGAGCAGAGATGTTCACTTCCTCCAGCTGCAAAAAACCAGCAGAAAAATGTGTGAACACTGGAACATCTGCAGGCTGATTAATGAGCCGACGCGTCCTGCTTTCATTTATGTCCAAGTTTCAGAATTCAGCATAAAGTAAATTAACATAAGGCAGGAAAAGAAAATACAAGAAGGCAGTAAAAAGTAAAAAGCTCTTAAGTAGGTTAGTAGTACTGAGAGTAAAAGGTGTAGGTCCAGTATCTGTACCAGCAGCAGGGCCACAGCCTGAATTCATCAAATGAAAATCTTAAAACACACACTATAGGGAACCTTAAATCTGAAACTTTGAAGATAATTTTAAAAAGATAAAAACATATTAAAGATATAATGTGTAGATTCCGCCACCAGGGGGCTCTCAATCAATACTATCATAACAAAAGATGCCGTCGAGGCTAGTGGGGAATCATGGGAGTGTCACACTAACAATTTAATCCAAACAGAAAAAAAGACAACTTAAAAGCCGCACTAAAACGTACCTCAAGAAGACAGAGTCTAAGACTGTCGGGCTGAAACAGATGCTTTATGTTAGTTTGAAATAATACTGTATGCCAATGGCCGTTTGAAACAGATTAAGATGAAGTTGAAACAAAGGTTGAGAAACAGAGGAGCTTTGGTGTTTTAGGTACCTGAGATAACACAGCTTTATAAATGAGGCGTTAAGTCCAAGTCCCCTGAACGTAACAACACGTTTAAAGATGTCGCTCTGACAAACTGTGGAAACCTCCGGACACTCTTTTC